GAATACGTGCCGTGCTCGTTTTAAGGCCGAGTCGATCTAGTGGTGGTGGGGGGAGGAGGCTGTGGGCTCGCTTTCACAACATCGGCTACGTCGATGGAATTGTCACTGAACTCGTTCCAGAGGATGTTCGTAATCGCAGTGCGCTAACCGCTGCGCCACCACTCACATCGTACACAATAAACAAAGACAAAGATCCCCCACCCCCACGGTATAGCCTTCACAGACTGTAGGGGCAAGTGCTGTTAGCGAGTAAGACCAATGAAGGGTTAGGGTGGCCAGCAACCACGCCCGGCCGCCTCTGTCTCCCCCGCTGGCGATGTTTACTACGCACCGCACCAAGGTTACTAATTTGAGGCCGAGTCGACCTAGGGGATGGCCCAGGACCGGTTCAGAAGAATCGTCATCGGTGTTCGCCGTGAGCGAGAATCGAACCCGGGTCGCCAGGTTCGTAGCGCAGCGTAGCGCTAACCACTACACCACCGCTCCCCCACATAATACAGACACACAGACACAAATCGACGTTAACAATAACAACAAAGGTGCAATTAACACACAAAACAAGGGAGGGGGGGGCAAAGACCCTCCATTTTTTGTCAACAATAGCCAAACAACAATAGCCAAACAACAATAGCCAACAACAATAGGCAAACAACAATAGGCAACAACAAACGTCGCGCGCGCACGCGATATTAAAACAACACGAGATTCGCTACGCTAATGACTGTGCAATTAACTCTCGCTTATTCTTAGCTCTTTCGGTAAAGTCACGTTGAAGGGAAACAATAAAATAATAAAATATATATAAAACAATAAAAATTCTCACGACGTTTCGACCATAACACAAACAGTCGTCATCAGGCGTGTCGGTTTGCATTAATTTATTTATTTTTAAACGGTGTACCCGTTTAAAAATAAATTGTAAAAAATCTAAAAATAAATATACATTAATGCAAACCGACACACCTGATGACGACCGTTTGTGTTATGGTCGAAACGTCGTGAGAATTTTTATTGTTATATATATTTTATTATTTTATTGTTTCCCTTCAACGTGACTTTACCGAAAGAGCTAAGAATATGAATTACTGCAGTCACGAAAGCTTTAAATCAAAATTTAACTCTCGCTTATTAACACACGAAAGTCGCGTAAATAGTCTTACACACACAGCTCTCTCTCTAGCACACACACAGCTCTCTCTCTAGCACACACACAGCTCTCTCTCTAGCACACACACAGCTCTCTCTCTAGCACACACACAGCTCTCTCTAACACACACACATATCTCTCTCTCTAGCACACACACACATACATCTCTCTCTAGCACACACACACAACTCTCTAGCACACACATCTCTCTCTAGCACACACACACATCTCTCTAGCACACACACACACATCTCTCTAGCACACACACACACATCTCTCTAGCACACACACACACACATCTCTCTAGCACACACATACAGCTCTCTTTAGCACACACACACACATTTCTCTCTCTCTAGCAAGCACACACACACATCTCTCTCTAGCACATACACATCTCTCTAGCACACACACACACATCTCTCGCTAGCACACACACACATCTCTCTCGAGGACACACACACACATCTCTCTCGAAGAAGAAGAAAAAGCACACACACACATCTCTCTCTTGAGGAAGCACACACACCTCTCTCTCGAGGAAGCACACACACCTCTCTCTCGAGGAAGCACACACACCTCTCTCTCGAAGAAGCACACACACCTCTCTCTCGAAGAAGCACACACACCTCTCTCTCGAGGAAGCACACACAAACATCTCTCTCGAGGAAGCACACACACATCTCTCTCGAGGAAGCACACACACCTCTCTCTCGAAGAAGCACACACACCTCTCTCTCGAAGAAGCACACACACATCTCTCTCTTGAGGAAGCACACACACCTCTCTCTCGAGGAAGCACACACACCTCTCTCTCGAAGAAGCACACACACCTCTCTCTCGAAGAAGCACACACACCTCTCTCTCGAGGAAGCACACACAAACATCTCTCTCGAGGAAGCACACACACCTCTCTCTCGAGGAAGCACACACACCTCTCTCTCGAAGAAGCACACACACCTCTCTCTCGAAGAAGCACACACACCTCTCTCTCGAAGAAGCACACACACCTCTCTCTCGAGGAAGCACACACACACATCTCTCTCTCGAGGAAGCACACACACACATCTCTCTCTCGAGGAAGCACACACACATCTCTCTCTCTCTAGCAAGCACACACATCTCTCTCTCTAGCACACACACATCTCTCTCTCTAGCACCCACACACAGCTCTCTCTCGAGGAAGCACACACAAACATCTCTCTCGAGGAAGCACACACACATCTCTCGAGGAAGCACACACACACATCTCTCGAGGAAGCACACACACATCTCTCGAGGAAGCACACACACATCTCTCGAGGAAGCACACACACACATCTCTCGAGGAAGCACACACACATCTCTCTCGAGGAAGCACACACACACATCTCTCTCTCGAGGAAGCACACACACACACATCTCTCTCTCTCGAGGAAGCACACACACACATCTCTCTCTAGCACACACACATCTCTCTCGAGGAAGCACACACACACACATCTCTCTCGCTAGCACACACACATCTCTCTCTCGAGGAAGCACACACACACATCTCTCTCTCTCGAGGAAGCACACACACCTCTCTCTCTCGAAGAAGAAGAAGAAGAAGCAGCACACACACACATCTCTCGCTAGCACACACACACACATCTCTCTCTCTCGAGGAAGCACACACACACACACCTCTCTCGAAGAAGAAGCACACACACCTCTCTCTCTAGCACACACACACATCTCTCTCTCTAGCAAGCACACACCTCTCTCTCTCGAGGAAGCACACACCCCTCTCTCTCGAGGAAGCACACACACATCTCTCTCTAGCACACACACATCTCTCTCTCGAGGAAGCACACACACACATCTCTCTCTCTCGAGGAAGCACACACACACATCTCTCTCTCGAGGAAGCACACACACATCTCTCTCTCTAGCACACACACACATCTCTCTCTAGCACACATACACAGCTCTCTCTCTCGAGCAAGCACACACACACATCTCTCTCTCTCTCGAGAAAGCACACACACACACATCTCTCTCGCTAGCACACACACATCTCTCTCACTCTCGAGGAAGCACACACACATCTCTCTCGCTAGCACACACACATCTCTCTCTCTCTCGAGGAAGCACACACACATCTCTCTCGAGGAAGCACACACACACATCTCTCTCTCTAGCAAGCACACACCTCTCTCTCTCTAGCAAGCACACACACACCTCTCTCTCTCGAGGAAGCACACACACCTCTCTCTCTCGAGGAAACACACACACATCTCTCTCTAGCACACACACACATCTCTCTCTCTAGCACACACACACACATCTCTCTCTCTAGCACACACACACACATCTCTCTCTCGAGGAAGCACACACACATCTCTCTCTAGCACACACACATCTCTCTCTCTAGCACACACACAGCTCTCTCTCTCGAGGAAACACACACACCTCTCTCTCTCTCGAGGAAACACACACACACATCTCTCTCTAGCACACACACACACATCTCTCTCTCTAGCACACACACATCTCTCTCTCTCGAGGAAACACACACACCTCTCTCTCTCTCGAGGAAACACACACACACATCTCTCTCTAGCACACACACACACATCTCTCTCTCTAGCACACACACACAGCTCTCTCTCTAGCAAGCACACATCTCTCTCTCTCGAGGAAGCACACACACATCTCTCTCTAGCACACACACACAGCTCTCTCTCTCGAGCAAGCACGCACACACATCTCTCTCGCTAGCACACACTTTACAGCGGACGTGAACACCGCAACTAACCGTCAATGTTTACCTCCAACCACCCCGTACGTGCACACACACACAACACACACGGGTTTGTTATTATGCAATAATCACTTTTAGTGTTGCTATTTAACGCAAATACAAAGTGCTCGTTCTCCCGAGTCGCGATAGGGATCACTCCCCCCCCCCAACTCGAGTGGTATTGCACGGCACACCAAAGCGGGGATGTGGGGGGCCGTTCAGCAACCACGCCCGGCCGCCTTTGTCTCCCCAGTGGCGAGGTTTACTTCCACACCGCGGCGGGTACTCGTTTGAGGCCGAGTCTACCTAGAGGAGGCCCGGAAACGGTTCGAATAATCGTTTACAGGGATTGTTGTTGTTGGTGGTGGTGGTCGTGAGCGGAAGTGGAACTCTGGTCGCCGGGTTCGTTGCGCAGTGCGCTAACCACTGCCCCACCGCTCCTCTCCGAATCCTCCCCCTCCCACCTCCCCTCCACTGTTTAACAAAACCAAAGACAAAGGTCCCCCACATAGCCTCAGTGCTGTTAGTTAACGAGCAGCAGCAGCAGCACCTATGAAGGGACCGGCACGGCACACGAGGGGGTGCAGGGTGGCCAGCAACCACCCCCGGCCGCCTTTGTCTCCCCCCGGTGCTGATTTTAACGCACCGAAGCAGATTCTCGTTTGAGGCCGAGTCGACCTAGGGGGAGGACCGGGGGACCGGGACCGGTTCAAATATATCCGCCGTTCGTCATTGGTTCGTGAGCGGGATTTGAATTCGCAAGCGCAGTGCGCTAACCACTGCGCCACCGCTCCCCGTTGTTTCCGTGCTACGGCAAACGCTTGGAGCGAACGCTTTAAAATCAACGCCGAGGTGAAGACGACGTGGCGAGCCTCCCGCTACAACGTCTGACGCGGCCACTCCAGGGCCACCTTTGTGTTTCCGCGGTGATGCGACGCTGTGCGTGTGTGTGCGTGCGTCTGTGTGTGCGTGCGTGTGTGACAGCAGCGGTTACGTGATGATGATGTTGGTGCGTGCTGCTTGTGTGTGTGTGTGGTGGTGATGGTGGTGGTGGTGATGATGGTGGTGGTGGTGATGCACAATACATACATACGCGTGAAGGCGGCACGGGAAGCAGGAAACGCAACAAAAACGACCGCTCGAGACTCGGATGCCCGGAGCAGGAAGCAAAAAAAAGGCGGTGTTGGTGTTGTTGGTGGTGGTGGTGGTGATGATGATGATGGGGCAGGGGCGAGGGGCGAGCCTGGTTGGTTGGTGATGGTGAGGCGAGAAGGAGAGAGAATGAAGGGGAGGAGGAGGAGGATGAAGAGGAGGAGGAGAATGAGGAGGAGGAGGAGGTGACACACACAGAGAGCCGGCGTCCGGTTCACGCCCCTCTACTCCGCAGCTGCTGCCTCGACGATTTCAAAAAGGGCCGCAACAATCCCCGCCCCTCCCCGCCCCGCCGATGACTCTCCACCGGACGAATTCGTCGTTATAAAATTTTTTTAAATAATGTGGGCGGTGTTGGTGTCGCGTCGAATGTTGTGTCGTGAGACCCGCCGCCACCCGACACGGCCAATTAGTAAAGGGGGGTTTGTCACGTGAACAAAACGTGGCCAATTCGTTGCTAGTTCAGCACTAATAGACCCACAACAATGGCAATTCGCTAATCGAGGTTTTTCTGGGTTCGATCGCGTAAATATTCATGTGTCGTTAGACCCCGCCGCCACCCGACACGGCCAATTAGTAAGGGGGTTGCCACGTGAACAAAACGTGGCCAATTCGTTGCTAGTTCAGCACTAACCGGCTGTGTGTTTGGGGGTAAACCCACAACATTGGCAATTTATAATCAAAGTTTTTTTGGGTTCAATCGCGTAAATATTCATGTCGTTAAAGCCGCCACCACCTGACACGGCCAATTAGTAAGGGGTTTGCCACGTGAACAAAACGTGGCAAATTGGTTGCTAGTTCAGCACTAACCGGCTGTGTGTTGGGGGGTAAACCCACAACATTGGCAATTCGTAATAGAGGTTTCGTTTTGGGGTTAGATCGCGTAGATATTCATGTGTCGTTAAACCCGACACAGCAAAATTTCGATTTGAAGCTTTCGTGACTGCAAGGATTCATCTTCTTTGGTTCTTTCGGTAAAGTCACCACGTAGAATGAGAATAAAATAATAAAATAACACAATAAAATTCTCACGACGTTTCGGCCACAACGCAAGACGGCCGTCTTGCGTTGTGGCCGTCTTGCGTTGTGGCCGAAACGTCGTGAGAATTTTATTGTGTTATTTTATTATTTTATTCTCATTCTACGTGACTTTACCGAAGGAACCAAAGAAGACCGACACAGCAAATTAGTAAGGGGTTTGTCACGTACAAAAAGTGGCAATTTGTTACTAGTACAGCACACCGGTGTGTTGAAGAGTAAACCCACAACAACATTTACAATTCGATTACCGTGGCGTCTCGCCAGGAATTACAAGAACGAACATCATCAGGTGGACGGCCGGAGAGTTAAATAGACGCAGGATAGCTGTCATGTCATCACTTGTGAGCCAATCAGGTGCGTGTGTTTTATGAAGAAGGGTCATTGACCGATACGTCACCTATTATATATGTGCCCCCCCCCCCGCCTTCCCTGTGCCCCCTACCCTATCCCCATTTTAAGATTACACCGTGTTATTGATGATTGTGTTAAGTTGTTGTTAAATGTGATTTGTGTACAAGGAATATATTTTTGTGAACGCTCTACCAAGGTTGTTCATGCGCATATAAGGGGCGGAGGCAGGGGGGGGGGTCATCTAAGATGGAGCTGTCCGGGCCTGAGCTCCAGAAAAAAAAATATTAATTCCCCGATAACATACACGCAGTAAACACGTAGGTACGCATGTTAAATAGCACACATCAAGATTACATTACGTGACACATTGCACGATAATTCCATCGTAAACCACATGTAGTCGATTACACTAATTTCTGGAGACCAGCCCCTGACTAACCTGACTGGCAATTAACCCCCCAACATTCATAGGAAGCCTTTGGTGGGAGGGTCCATATCGTGCACGTGTATGTATGTATGTGTGCGCCAGACACCGAAAGCTAAGGTGGGTTGAACCTGGATATCACCATGTCAAGGTGTAGCAAACAAAAACTAACTAAAACGATCAACTTGTTTTTTTTTAACCAGTTAAGGCCCCAACTGAGCTGTGTAGGTCGTTTTCAGGAGCTACCTGGCTATCGCAATTGATGTAGCTCAGCAAAGTGGGCTTACCGTCGTGTGGAAATGTATAGCAGCCAAATACTCTCAACGCGTGATATTGATTTTTGATTTGGCGGGACAACCCGGAGGACCCGGAACAAAAATCCAGGCGACAACAGGGAGAGAAAGAGACGCGCAAACTCCAAATATACAGCAGCAGGCGCCAGGGTCAGGATCGAACCCACGACCTCCTGCATACCAGGCGAGGATGTTAACATCTCACCACTGTGATGGTGATAATGATGATGATGAGAGAGAGAGACACCGCAAACTCCAAATATACAGCAGCAGGCGCCAGGGTCAAGATCGAACCCACGACCTCCTACATGCCAGGCGAGGATGTTAACATCTCACCACTGTGATGGTGATGATGATGATGAGAGACACCACAAACTCCAATTATACAGCAGGCGCCAGGGTCAGGATCGAACCCACGACCTCCTGCGTACCAGGCGAGGGAGTTAACATCGCGCCGCAAGGTACGATGCACGACTACGCAGTCAGATGGCGGGACAAATAATAACCGAGGAGCTCAAGAAAGTAGTTCATCGTTCGTTGCTCGGAAACCGCGTTTTCTAACGGTCGCGAGCGGCGTTGTAACGCTGCGCGAAAAGCGTTCCCGAATGTAAGAACCGCGTTATATTTCGATTTAATGCTTTCGTGACTGCAAGGATTCATCTTCTTTGGTTCTTTCGGTAAAGTCACGTAGAATGAGAATAAAATAATAAATTGATTAAATAAAATAACACAATAATATTCTCACGACGTTTCGGCCACAACACAAGCGGCCTTCATCAGGTGAAGGGACGAGACTGTCTGGAGGACAGCGTCAGACAGTCTCGTCCCTTCACCTGATGAAGGCCGCTTGTGTTGTGGCCGAAACGTCGTGAGAATATTATTGTGTTATTTTATTTTATCAATTTATTATTTTATTCACATTCTACGTGACTTTACCGAAAGAACCAAAGAAGAGGAACCGCGTTATAGCGAAGACGCGTTAGGGGCTGTCCGTGAATGACGTCACACACCAAGGGGGGGGGCGGGGTCAGACATTTGTGACGATGCGTGACGAGGAGGGGAGGGGGGGGAGTTGAGAAATGTGACGTCACGTAAAAATGCGCAACTTTAAATAAATATAGATAACACGTTTTGCTTAGTTAAATAGACTTTTTAATCAATATTTTCTCTTACAACATCAGAGTGCAGCGCCACATTAAATACGCACTACAATGACAATAGTTTAAAGCGATTTGAAGCATGTTTTATTTTTTTTTGGGGGGGGAGGGGGGCAGAGCTTTGTGACGTCATATTTGAGAGGCGGGGTCTGACTTTTTGTGACGCCGTGTGACGAGGAGGGGGGAGGGGCTAACAAAATCGTCCAAAATCGCGTGACGTCATTTATGGACGGCCCCTTTATCGTAACCAACGCCCGCACGTTCGAGGCGTGCGTCGGCCGCGGTGCCCTCTGCTGGCCACCAAGAAGCACAGCTTCTGAGGCAGGCTGTGGCAACGCGATTGTGCTTTCGTAAGGCACGTGTCTAAGCGCCTTTTACACGCTCGGCTCCTCTTCTTGTTTTACGATCAGAGCAAACAAGAAGATGCTCGGTGTAGTCGGCACTTTGCTTCGTTCATCACTTCCGGGTTTTATTTTCAATGCTTTGCTTTAGGTGGTCCCAACCACCCTTTTTTAAATGAAAGATTCCACAAAAGATTTCAAGCTCTGCTCTCCTCCAACTTACCCTTCCCTCTCTACCCCCTCTCTCTCTACCCCCTCTCTCTACCCCCCCTCTCTCTACCCCCTCTCTCTACCCATCCCCTCTCTCTCTCTACCCCCTCTCTCTACCCCCCCCTCTCTCTACCCCCTCTCTCTACCCCCCTCTCTCTCTACCCCCCTCTCTCTACCCCCCCCCTCTCTCTCTCTACCCCCTCTCTCTACCCCCCTCTCTCTCTGCCCCCTCTCTCTACCCCCTCTCTCTACCCCCTCTCTTTACCCCCCCCCCCCCCTCTCTCTACCCCCTCTCTTTACCCCCCTCTCTCTCTACCCCCTCTCTCTACCCCCCCTCCTCTCTACCCCCTCTCTCTACCCCCCCCCCTCTCTCTACCCCCTCTCTCTACCCCCCCTCTCTCTACCCCCTCTCTCTACCCCCCTCTCTCTCTACCCCCTCTCTCTACCCCCCCCCCCTCTCTCTCTACCCCCTCTCTCTACCCCCCCCTCTCTCTCTCTACCCCCTCTCTCTACCCCCCCTCTCTCTCTACCCCCTCTCTCTACCCCCTCTCTCTACCCCCTCTCTTTACCCCCCCTCTCTCTCTACCCCCTCTCTTTACCCCCCTCTCTCTCTACCCCTCTCTTTACCCCCCTCTCTCTCTACCCCCTCTCTCTACCCCCCTCTCTCTACCCCCCCTCTCTCTACCCCCTATCTCTACCCCCCCTCTCTACCCCCTCTTTCTACCCTTTCTCTCTACCCCCCTCTCTCTACCCCCTCTCTCTCTACCCCCTCTCTCTACCCCCCTCTCTCTACCCCCCTCTCTCTCTCTACCCCCTCTCTCTACCCCCTCTCTCTACCCCCCCACCCTCTCTCTACCCCCTCTCTCCACCCCCTCTCTCTACCCCCCCCCCTCTTTCTCTCTACTCCCTCTCTCTACCCCCCTCTCTCTCTACCCCCTCTCTCTACCCCCTCTCTCTACCCCCTCTCTCTACCCCCTCCTCGCTCTACCCCCCCCTCTCTCTCTCTACCCCCTCTCTCTACCCCCTCTCTACCCCCCTCTCTACCCCCTCTCTCTACCCCCCTCTCTCTCTCTACCCCCTCTCTCTACCCCCTCTCTCTACCTCCCCTCTCTATCTCTACCCCTCTCTCTCTACCCCCCTCCTCTCTCTACCCCCCCCCTCTCTCTCTCTCTACCCCTCTCTCTCTACCCCCTCTCTCTACCCCCCCTCTCTCTCTCTACCCCTCTCTCTCTACCCCCTCTCTCTACCCCCTCCTCTCTCTACCCCTCTCTCTACCCCCCTCTCTCTCTACCCCCTCTCTCTACCCCCCCTCTCTCTCTACCCCCTCTCTCTACCCCCTCTCTCTACCCCCCCCCCCTCTCTCTCTCTACCCCCCTCTCTCTACCCCCTCTCTCTACCCCCCCGCCTCTCTCTCTACCCCCCCGCCTCTCTCTCTACCCCCT